CACTGGCTTAGAAAGCAGACAGGTGTTTTTGCCAAGCATCTATTCCACCTGTGGATGTGTCTACGCAATGCCTAACATCCAAATGAAAAGCTGAAAACAAAATTGTTCTGGACCTCTCTCCTATGCTAGTGCAAACCATCCAGCTGTTTCCAACGATGGGGATTCTGTGAGCTGTGTAGACATGGCCAATAATCCATTGGGAGCTAGAGGAAATGGAAGCAAACTTAGAACAAAGGTTGGTGTATGTCGTTTGCGTTCAAGAGAATTTGTTTTGGATTTGGAAAATGAATCTTCAGTGTTCTGCCTTAAAGAAAGGAACACAGGGTCTTTGTTGTAACAAGGGGTGAATGGTGATAAGGCCCCTCGGCACACAGCCCATGCACACAGCACTTCCATTTTCTGAATGGTACGTGGGCACACTGTGATCGCTGAAACGTTAGTTGTACAATCAAGTCCTTCCATGTCTAGGTGTCACATACCAATGGCAACAACCCAGCCGGCCGAGCCAGACGTGGAGAGAGCCACCTGCCCCTCACGGCTGCGACACCTCTGCTGTTCCTTGGCCAATGAGGTTCTTTCATTCTGTTAAAGTAGCTATGCTCCAAAGGGAAATGACCAGCAGAAGACGATCCCCTTCCCAACCAGAGGGTTCTGGAAGACCAAGATACTGAAGATACAGAACTACTTCTTAAATCACCATCATTCCTTTGTTATAAACTAGGGCACAAAGCAGGGATGGGGAGAGGGAGGAGAGGGTGAACTGCAGCTTGGGTCGGGGGAGAAATCCTTTTTTTGGCATATTGTAAAGCTAGCTAGTAAACAGGTTGTTCTAAAGAAAATGGATCACAAACACACATTTGCACACATAGAGAAAAAAGTGTCTTTAAATTATTTTCGGCAATTATAAACTACAAACATTTTATAAAATTATTCTATGTTCTTACAAAAATGCAATGAAACATTTAATTAGTTCTTGTAAACCAGATCTTCGTCAACTGACTACCCGTAATCTACTGGACTTGAGAGCCCTATTGAGAACGCTAATGAGTGACTAATCAAAACAATGTTTACGCACACAAACGTGGACATACAGATGAGTGATCATTATGTTCCTACATAAGCGAAATAAAAAGAAACCCTAAAGGCATGTCCCAGAACTGACAACTGAAGGGTGGACTGCAGTTCGTGGTCTTGAAGTTTGGCTTAACTCTGCAATAAGTTTCCAAAATAGGATGTTAGGTTTATTGGCTGAAACCAAATGCCCACGGATGACTGTTGAGCCTTGATGTGGTCTGATACCTTCAGAAACCATCAAGTTCAAAATGTGGCCCACACTTCTTCCAAGCCCTGTCTTCTCTTGGTGCACACAGTAGTTCCTACTGCCTGGTCTTTCCACCACCAAGGAGTGTTCATCTATTTTTTTCTTGTTTTTTTTTTTTTTTCCTCTAAATGACCAACTAGTCATCTACGCTGGAGGCCACGAATGAAACCCTCTGGCCTGTCCAAGGTCTGTATCTTCAGCATCTCTGGCAACAGAAGTTCAATCTAAACATCCTCTCTTGAAGTTTCCCTTTGCACCACCAGCTACTTCAGAGTGGAGGAAGAAAGTGTGACTTTCATCACTGGTTGTTAAGGAGTGGATCTCTGGTCAGATCTCCCAATGCTGCTCAGCCCAGGAAATGAAAAGACAGCCGACAAACACAGAAGTAACAGGAAAAGAACAAACCCCGAACCTTAAATGCATTAGTGGGACTGCTGGGGTGGGCCAAGGCATGCCGTGGAGTGGGATTGTCAACTGCAGGGCACCTGGGTGTTGGAAAGGAGTTGCTCTGACATGGCCTGGCATCCCTGGGGGGGACCTGGCAGTGACAGCTGAGGACCCGTACCGACATCCGAGCCTCCTCACTGGTCTGAGCTCAGTGTGATGGGTTTCACAAACAGCCACCTGCTACTGAGGTGGGCTGTTGAGAAAGAGGCTTTGGTGGGACAGACTGGCCTAGCATTTGGCATTCTACTTGGCTCATAAATCTGTCACTGCAATCAGCACACACCACTTCAGGCCAAGCATTCTGTCAGTGGGTAGAGATCCACAGCAACCCCTTGTTGATTTTATAAAGTCGCGCTTCCTACCATTGAAATGTTATTCCGAGTCGTAAAAAACAAGATGAAGAGGGGGTTAGTTATGGCCGTGAACACGGTCTTCTATCTCTCAAGGAGGACACACCCTCCAACTGTGTCAAACGGCAGGACATCTGTCAAGGAGACCAGGGGTAGCCCTGGTCTCACTCAACAATGTCTGAAGTGCAACAGCATCTCCAGAAAATACCAGCTCCTGCTGCTCCGGGAAGGGCTTTGTGTGCTAATGTTAACGCTCATTTGGTTCACTCAGGTGCCTCAAGTGGTTCATGTCACATCAAGCAACATGAGCTGCTGTCAGAAGAGGTTGCATGGAAAATGCCACAACTCAGCTTGACTAAATTACTTGGAGCATACAAAAGAGAAAAATCAAGAAGAGGTGGGGAGATCAGCATAAAATTAGGCAAGAACTGTGGATAGGTGATGCCTGGGAAGAATCAAGGTGGGTGGTTTGGTCCAGTAACACGACTGCACCATCACAGGAGCAAAAACTGCTCTTTTACTTAAGTGTGTCTGAAGCATTTGTTATGATGGGCACTACACTGTTAGTGTTTTCTTTCTATTTAAAGAAAAACAGCCTACACAAGACAAAAACAAACACCGCCAACAACTCGGGACAGTTTCAACAAAACCCTAAGACCGGCTGAATGATCTGTAGAAATCCAGTTGTGAAAACCAGTAGGTTTGTGCAAGACTGAGGAGAGGCCACTATTCCAAGGGGTCACTGACAGTGTGGAAGAAGAAAACCCTGATCAAACAATAGTTCTCAATGACTGAGAGTCCCCAGGGGTTGTGGGGTAGAGGGTAATGTTCTTGTAGGAGGGAAAATGCTCTTAAGTGTAACTGCAGTGTTGGAGCTATAAAGGACCCATCCACGCTGTGGGAAAAACACCCACCCAGGTAGTATTATCAGTGCCTAAAAGAGCAACTGCTGGAGTGGGGGAAGGTGCAGAGCCCCTGTGAGCAGCAGGATGTTGGGGGTGGGGTGGGAGAGGCACAGTCCTGAGGGAGCCATGGCACCCTGGGAGGCAGCTCAGCACCCACCACAGGCCCCTTCCAGCCTGAAGGTTTGGCTTACCCTTGTTTTCCCCTGGGGAAGAAGGCAGTAAGGGTGGAAAAGTGTGGAAAGGGTGAAGGGGACTTTTGCCTTCATACACTCTCTGGGATTGGCATAACCGCTGCCTGCGGCCTGAGCGCTCCACGTGTGAACACGGTTGCGCACTGGGCTAGAGTGCAGAAGCAGCTGCACATGCCTGCCTGGCCCAAGCCCAGGCGAGGGTGGGAGTCCCACAGACCGTCTGCCCCCGGCCCTGGGCACAACTGTCCTCAAAATCTGGGGAACAACTGCTCTTCTGGTGATGGAGTCTGTTTGTCATTCAGTCCACACAGAGGAGTAGGTTTCAAGGACAGCCAGCCTGAGGCAGCCAACCGGCTCCTGGCCGCCAGCTCCGGCTCTGCTGGCCTCAGAGCAGTGTGTGGGTGGTAGAGGATGAGGCACTGGGGAAGGGCCCGGGGGCTGGAAGGAGGCTATCCTGAGCCCTCACAGCCTCTCAGGAAACCAAGTGAGAGAACAGAAGCAGCACAGAAGGAGACATCTCGGGAAAGGCAAGGTGCTTCAGACAAGCAGAGGTGAGTCAGTGTTGCTTCGACCCCGGAATATAGCCTGGCCTCTCCCAGGGTCACCTGGTGTGTGTGGCCTGTGGTGTGGATGAGGTTACCAGTATCAACGGCATATTGTCAGGTGCTGAGAACTGTGAGATGTATTCTTTTTTTTTATATATACACATATAAAAAATAAGAGTGAGGTAGATAAATGTTTGAAAAAAAAAAAAACCCAAAAACTGTCCTGTCTTGTCTTACACACACACACACACACACACACACACACACACACACAGACACAGACACACATCTTTCTCAGTATTAAAATTCATAATGGGGCTTCTTTACAGTGATTGAAACTGGTATCACAAAATAAATTAAAAAAAAAATCTCCTACATATAATATTCTCTTAACTTTTTTTTTTCTTTCTCTCTCTCTTTTTTTTTTAGAGGGGGAAAAAAACTTTTGGGACAGAAGCTCGAGAAATCCATGGGCATGAAACTACAGACAAGCACAGTCGCACTAGAAACTGTGCTTAGTCTCCAGTCACAACTAGCAATCATCCTTCTTCAGCTTGGTTCTTACTCACAATCTGAACATTTCCCTCCCAGAAATCACTCTTGTGCTCTCATACTCTGGTGAGAAGTGCTAAAAACTCAACACGCCATTGGCGGTCAGCCCCGGCCCTGGGCCAGCCACAGCGGACGCATAGCGAATGCACCTGGCGGGCTCGCCGCCACCCCGGGAGGGGTCCCCTGCACCCTACCCTCTACGGGAGGGCCCTAGAGCCCTGCAGGGGGTGATGGCAGGCTGTGGGGGGCCGCTGGACCACGCTCTGCTGCACCCTGGAGCTCAGCAGCTGTCTTTCATGGGATGGAAGGATAAATATTCATTAAAAAAAAAAAAGTAATCCAAATGCCTAATGTCTGCAATTCCAACTGCTGTTGTACCCAAAAATTAAAAAAATAGATCTATGTGTTACAACCAAAACCAGGGAAAGGGTGGGAGAAGGTGGCTGTGAATACCGGATGAGGATGTGCGAAATACTGAACCTTTTTCTGACCTGAGTTTGTATCATGTCTTGCGCTGTTAACAGACTCAACTGCTGTGTGAGAGCAGGCTGAGGAAAGCGGGGTGCATGACGCACCAGGATGGCCCTCAAGGAGGGCGGGGGCTGCGCCCTCTCTCCGTCTCCTGCTCACCAGCCTGGCGCCCACAGAGCCTACAGGTTAGAACAGAATGGACAGGGGTGGTGGTGGGGGTGCGGGGGGCGGGGATGTGTTTATCAAAAGGCATCAAACAGTTCATGGCAAATTATGTCCTAGAAGTCTCAATGACTGGGAAAAGAGGAAGAAAGTCACACACTGTAGTACAAAGCATAAGAAGTTTCTTGGAGTGAGCGGAAAGGGAAGAAGGGTAGACCTGAAGGTTTTCATAGATTAAATCCACAAAGATAAAGAACAAAAAAAAATAGCAGCTTTTTTTTTTCTGTACAGACGTATAGATGAATATCTGAACCGTAAAAAAGTTATAAAAGTGACATTAAAGACGATGTGTATGCAAAGGTTTCATGGTCTAACATAGAACTGTGAGACCCATGAAGAAGTCCTAGGAACAGAGAAAATGCCAACGAAGCTTAGAATGCTTGAATCCATTTACTGCTTTTCTTCCCACGGCTGTGGTGGTGGTGGAATTTCTTTCCTTGCAAACCTGCATGAACGGCTGGGCTGAATCCCTGGGGACCCCTTCCCTTCTGTGTCCTTGGAGGCCGGGTTGGGACCTGGGGTGGGGACAGGAGGCATGTGGGCGACCTTCACACACAGCCTGTCTTCCAGGCCCTGGGGGGGGGGGGCTGTTCTCTCCAGAATTCCTGGGGGCTGCCAGGTGGGGGGTGAGGAAGTGGGCAGGAAGCCAGCTCAGCTCCTCCTCATCTTCTCTGAGAGCAGGTCCTGTGCCGTCCAGGCCCCCATCATAACCTCGCCACAAGCAACTAGACCGGTGTGAGCCTGAGACTCAGAAACACGCCGGGCGTCAGCAGCCTGCCTTAGCCGAGGGCCCCGACCCTGCCTGGCCCAGGCCTCTGGGAACGGGGAAATCAGGGCAGGGAGCGAAGAGAAAGTTCAGGGTTTGGGCGCAATTTGGCAGCGTTAAAATGGTGACAACCTTGGATGAACGATGGCCCTTTTAAAATTCTGTATGTCCCTAAAAAGGCTAAAGGTACAGTTAAAAAAATCCTGTCCCAATGGGTTTTTTATAAAGACCTACGGTGACAGACAGGTGTTCGTGGGGGGGCAATGAGGGGCGACGGGGAGGGACTGCCATCTCGAGCTGTAACAGGGGCGTCCCAGGTGGGCTGGCGGCAAATGTTTTTCCATTATGAAGCAGAGAGAGGAAGGGAGAGAGGGAAGAGGAGGAGGGAGGGAGAGAAAGAGAGAGAGAGAGGGAGGGAGAGATGAGAGAGATGAGCGGGAGACTGAGGAGAGAGACTTGATTTCTCAAGTGTTCCGTTGCTATTAAGTGTTGTCCTTAAGATTCTTAAAGGCCCATGTCAGTTAAGGGTTTGGGTAGAGAAATAAAAAGCTGCTTGCATATTGAAAAAAGGAACATCCCAAATGTGTTTACTGCAGAGAAGCTGTCTTCCGTGGCAGCCATGGCAGTTCTGAAGATCCACTGAGGTACAGGAGGCTGTGGATAGATTGTTAAGACTCTCCCCTCCCCCCACCGCCGAGCGTGCACGCCGTTACTGTTTGCGTGGGGCCGGGGTCCTGGGGTCCCGGATCAGCAGGTCGAAGACTGGGGCAGAGGCAGGGCCCGCTCGTTCTTGCGCCCCCCGTTCATGTGGGCGTAAGGCTGCCTCTCGTCGAAGCTGGCTCGCAGGACCAGCACGCCAGGGCCCGGGCCGTTCTCGGCCTTGTGTCCTGAGTGTCTGTCAGGCAGCGGCAGCGAGGCGGCAGAGGCGGAAGGGTCCAGGGGGACGCTCTCCATGTTCTCGGGCTCCAGCTCCAGCTCCAGCTCCTCGGGCTCGGGCGGCTTGTTCTCCTCGCTGTAGTAGAAGGAGACCTCCCGGAAGCCGGGCTCCATCTCCTCTTTGATGCTGCTGATGATCTCCAGGAAGGAAGGCCTCATCTTGGGGTTGTACTGCCAGCACATACGCATCAGCTCAAACCTGGGGTGAAGACAGACAGGGGTGGGCCCCACCTCCAGGCCTGCGCTTCCCGCACCCCGCTGCGCACAGCCGGGCTGCAGAGATCAGCCCTGCTCCTGCCTCTGGCTTTCTCTCCCGCTGGCCCGAGCAGCCCCCCCACTTCTCATGTCTGATCTCCCACCACTGTACCCACAACCTGGGCCTCCCTGGTCCAACCTCCCGCCCCAGCCTGAGAGGGACAGAGGTAGGTGCACCCGGAGTCCATCACAACAGCCAGCAGTGCCAGGATAGAAAAACATCTCCTGCAGCCACCCGTCCAAACTCGCGTCCAGAATCAGAATCTTCCAGAATCAGAACCCAGGAAACCTCCACCTTCTCGTGGCCAAGGGGCCCGGAGCTTTCCTGGCAGTCACCCTCTCAGCCCTGCCTGTGCTGTCTAAGCTTCCTCCTGGCGGCAGGCACCTGGCGGAGGACCTGGGGGCTGTGAGCCCAGTCTCTGGCCAGCACGGGGTCTGGCTGCGCTGGATGCAGCCAGAGTCCTCGTGAAGATCTCGCCAGCAGGTTGGCGAGAAGGGCCCTGCGCTGGGGTTCCCTGCACAAGCGAGGGCAGGCAGAGAACACGGGAACAACGGCTGCGGCCCCACCTTGGGCTGCAAAGCTCTGCGAAGTCTTCAGGTCACCTGGGCCCCTGGGGACGGGGCAGTGGCTCTGGGCCATCCTGAGAGCAGGAGGGAGATGAGAGGGGCACGTGCTGCCCCGGCCAGAGAGGCCAGGCTGAGACCAGAGGTCAGACTGAGGGGGACAGGGGATGCTTCTTACGGACACAAGCAGAGCAGCAGCAGGAGAGGGGGCGAGCAAGCGATACGGAGCTGGCCACAGAGGAGGCCGTGGTATCCCGAAGGGTCAGCTTGTGGCTCTTTGCCACGCAACAAGATGCCTTCCCTTCCACTTCTGTTTTTGCAGGAACACCAGCCCCGTTTTATTTTAAAAATTCTGGCAAAAAAGGTGCTTCCCAATGGAAAGGGTTCTCCCTCCCATATCCAGGTGCCAAGTACCCCACGCTGCTTCTGGGCTGGGAGCCCCCAGAGGGGTGGGGTGGGGCAGAACCTGTGGCTCCTCTGCCCGCCGCTAAGGCTGCTTGAAAGACACAGGGGTGGGAGGTCGGGGACCCCGAGGGAAGGTGGGGACGCCTGTGTTGCTGTTGTAAATCCAGTTCCCTGGCACAGGGCCTGCGGCTGCTTCCCGGCCACAAGTCGTGCTGAGGGGTTGTAACCCAGCCCGTTTGCTTAGAAGCCCCCACTATTTGCTGTGTGGCGCTTGACAGAACACACTTGCCTCTCCTGTACCAGTGGGAAAAGATCTGGACCATGAAGATGGCCGACAGGCCGGTGCAAGCTGCCTGCAGGGGTGAGGTGCAGGTGACAGCGCACATGCACAGGTGATGACACGTGCAGGTGATAACACACACAGGTGATGACATACACACAAGTGATGATACACACACAAGAGATGACACATATGCTCAATACACACAGGTGATGATACACACACAGGTGATGACGCACACAGGTGATGACACACATGCTCATACACACAGGTGATGACACACACACAAGTGATGACACATATGCTCAATACACACAGGTGATGACACACA